ATGGACAGTTTTAGCTGTTGCCCTATTGTCTTGGTTTAAGAAATGAGAATTTCTGATGTTTTGTCTTGTATTTCAGGAAATTTCACGACACGTGCGAGAGCTGCTGGGGATTGAGGAGCCTCTCTTCAGCAGATCCATTGCCCTCCCATACAGAGACAATATGGGTCTATTCCTAGAGAGAAAGGCACCAACAGGAGAGAAAGCAGATGCCCTCACTTTCTCACAGTTTATCCAAAAAGCAGGACTGGAGCCCTATACTACAGCTCCTTCTTTACAAGGATCCCAGGCCATGGAGGGAGTAGATGCTGTCCCTGCATCACAGGACACGCAGAGGCAGAATTAGTGACTCATACTGCACTTTTGCCTTTGTAAGAAGCCCAGCAGCCACAGCAGACTGTACCCTTATTACCTTGCAGATTGTTCAAGGAGATACAGTTCCACCTTTTAACAATTACAAAAAATTGTGCACTGCACTGCCACTGCAGCTCTTAGACATTTTATTACACCAAACCCATTCCCACATTGTCTCTTTTCTGCAATACTTCATTTGCTTGCAGGAATTAAGTGAAGTGGAGGTTGTGGATCAGACTGTACCATTGTCTGTCTTTCACTTCTGCTTCACAGTTGATTTGAAAATACAGAGAAAACCAATCATAGACATATTTTAGGCACAAGTGATTGATAAGAACTTCCCAGATGCTCAAGTGAATAGATTTCTCCCAGGCTTCAGTGTCTGCAGACTGGGCTTGCTCTGAAACCCAGATGTAAGATAAATGGCATATACAATAACTGGTGTACAGGTGTGCAGACAGCTGCTGTCAGCAATCAGAATTAAGCAAGGGATCTAGGTGCAACATGCATAACTAATCCTTGGCCACAAAAATTATTTCCTGTAATGCAAAACCAGGTAGGCATGTTCATCATGGTAAACAGTACTGTGAGACATGATAGATGGTGGCAGAAAGTACAAAAGAATACTGAACTAGAGAATTTGTGGAATAAAAATTGCTTTGTCCTGGGTGGATTTGGACAGAGTATCCAGTTACCTGCTTTTTCCCTGAAGGACATTTCATATAGTCTGTGGTGATGAGAGTGGGGTGCATTATCACCAGCAAGGAAGTAGAAGTGCTCATGAAGGCCTGGCTCAACACAAAGAGCACTCCTGACTAAATCATTACTGTGTTGTCAGGATTCAATGGCTTTCTCAAGATCCCTCATGGGGAATAAAAAAATAATACAACAAAAAAGACTGGGCCTGATCCTATTTAGTTTTTTACACCAAAGCTGCAGCCTCTACAAAATAACCGTAATTTGGTTTTGTAATTCAGTTCTGTATTGAAGCTGCAATAGAAACACAGTTTCTGAAGCAGTTCATAGGCCAAGAAGATTATGTAATAAGTAAATTCAGACCAAAAAACCCAAACCAAAAGAAAACAAAAAAAACCCACCTCGGGTAACCAGGGATAAGCAAGTTTGCTGAGCAGTGTAGAGACTGAAACTCATAGAAGAAAATGTGTGCATAAGGTTATTGGCTGGAATAGTTCAGAGTCTAAGAGCTAACAGTGCTGGTTCTTGCACTTAGTCCCATGAAAGGGCTGGGATGACATCTCAGCAAAGCATTCCTCATGGGCTTCATTAAAGTTTGTGAAGATTAAGAATCATACTCAGCATTTTCCTCTGGAATTTCTGAGAAACTGTCGGAAGCAGCTGTGGATAATGGAGACTTGTTATCCAGTATCATGCTAGGCTCCACTGCAGCTGAAGTGAGAGATGTCTGGTGCTGAGCAGCCCACACTGCTTTGTAGGACAGTCTCCAGAGGGTGCCTGGTACAGTAGAGCACCAGGCATCAGATGGCACAAGACAAGCTCTCTCTTTTCTAGCAGCTGCCTAAAGAGAGACTTTCTCAGTGACACAGCTGTCAGGAAAAACCAGGGGAAGGTTCTGGGATGGAAAAACAAGTGGAAACATTTACTGGCAACAACTGTCCAAAGCAGCTTGCTAATAATGTAACAAACAGTGGTTTTCTTCAGTGTCGGACTACATGACTTGTTCTTGGGTCTTTGAGAAACCATCAGACTCAGAGACTTGAATATAAAATGTTGCAGAATGGCTCTAGAACAGTCCTGCAAAAGCAGGAATCCTTTCCCTCAAGCAGCCTTCCTGTCTTAACATCCTCAGTAGCCCAGTTCATGAACTGTCAATAAGATCATTACCCCCAAGAACTGTCCTCCCTAGATATTCCCATAGGAAATTTTTTTTTTTTTGCATTCAATGCCCTAGTCTTGATCAGTTGCTTCAGACAACCCTGATAAGTAGGATCTAGGGACAAAATAACTCAGTCCAGGTCTTCTGTTGCTAATACATCATCTAATGCAATTGCTGGGGCAGAGATGTGGTCCTAAGGACAGCATGGAGTTCAGCACTTTCCAACCCAACAAGGCAGCCCATGCTTTCTGTGAGATGAGGCAAGCTGCAAAGCAGAGACAAGAAGTACCTCAGCATTCAACTGTCTTTCTCCTCTTGAGTAACTGCAGAGGCAAAATCTTTGCTTACAAAACTCTTGCACACAAAGCTGGGCAGGAAGATTTTTGTTCTGCACAGATGAGGCAGCATTCAAGAAAGCTGAGGTCATTTGTTCATTTCAGTGCCTTCTGGTGAGGCAGATTCTGCCACAGGATGCTGTTCAGGCCTGCATAAAAAATGACCATCTATTCATGGAATTATATTTTCCTTGCAGGATGAACAAAAATCAAGTATCAATTACCAGTGTGCACACAGATGTGAAGAGATATTCTTATCTCACACTGCTGGGAGGAATCACACTGACAACCAGACCTGTTTGATTTGAAACCTCTGATCTAGAACCATTTTAGGTGAGGGATTTTAAAATTAATAGTAACAAGTCTAATATAGCTTGTACTTTATGTAGCTCATACTAATTGAGTAACCAGTAGTCCTTGACAGGTCATACAACCATTCTGCCATGACGGCACGCTGAGCACCAGGGGTGCTTCAAGTGCACTCAGCTACACGTTCATTACAGCGTGGTTGTTCCTATGTTTCAGATCCCCTTTTGTAGAAACAATGGGTTAGAGTTCCATCCTGTGGTGAAACCCAGAAATTGCAGGATTGAGTCCTGCAGTAAATCCTGTAGTGAAACTGTATGGTGAAAGGTGCACTGTGAACTCTTTTTAGGCCACATGTAAGTTAGTAAGTTAGCGGGAGTTATGGTGGAGTTTGCTCAGATGCTTTGAGTTCTTTTAACTCTAAGGGAGTTGTATGAGTTCACTGCAGTATGTGAATATTTTGTGTGTTAAGAATGAGTTATGAGTCTGCCAGCATAAAAAAAAATGACATAGGGCCACCCATGACATAAAGCTTGTTTGCTCAAAAATTGTTTTTGATAAATGTATAAATATGTGAAAAATCTTATACAGGATATGCAGTTGGAATGGTTTTCACTGCACATCCTGGCCAGAATAAAGTAATGCAACTCACTGCCACCTCAAAGATAGGGTCAGAGTTTAATTTCTTCCTGAGTTTGGTGACAGTTCCAGGCCCAGGCTCTGAAATTACATGGTCCATTTTTCTTGAGGGGAGGGATGGAGGTGTCAAGGCTGTACACAGTGACAGGACAAATGGCAGCATGTGTGACAGGAGGCAGCAGAGGAACACAATGTCCTCCCAGGCCACCAGCTCAGCATTGTCATAAATGCATGTAAAGCTCTGCTTCTGCAGGGCTATTGAACTAAGCAAGGTGAAAGGGACTCAAAAGCTCAGAGAGAAAGCAGAGCTATGAACCAGCACACCAGAACACATTTACCTGTGCTCTGCCACATGCAGGTGAAACACAAACCACTGCTACCAGACTGGTAGCAGTCTGCCTGCCCAAAGTGGCACAGAGGGACTTTGGTGGCTGCCCATCACTGTTCTTATATAGCAAAGGGCAGCAGCAGAGTGACACAAAGGAATAAATATGCAAAGAACTCAGCTGCTTGGCCCAGTCCTTGCAGGCTGATTTAAAGTCTTTAGCTGAAACAGCTGATCCTTGGGAATCTGGCTAGTTTTCAAGACCTATAAAAAGCTATTTAATAAACCCTGTTTCATCTCTTCCCTGAGATGATTAGAAAGAGGATTTTATTCCAACATGTCCCTGGAGGACCATTCTCCCTATTTGTTATTTCTCCCATTATCCCTATTCTCCCTAAACTCTTATCTATGAGTTTATGGGGTTATATGACTTTATATGCAGCCTGTAGACAACATTGTTTACTCAATTACTATGAGCTACATAAAATACAAGCTGTATTAGACTTGTTACTATTAACTTTAGCATCCCTCAGCTAAAATGGCCCTAGATCAAGGGCAGTCTTACCAATTTGTCCAAGTATGTGATGACAGGGAGTAAAGAAAGGGACCCAGACTCTCTTCAGTGGTGCCCAGTGATGACAAGGAGCACCGGACACAAACTGAAATGTGCTTGTCCATCTGAAGACAAACTCACCTTTTACTGTGAGTATTGCCAAATTCAGAACAGGTTTTCCAGAGAAGCTGAGTTGATGCTGAAAACCCACAGAGCCACGGTCTTGGTCTGCCTGTTCCAGGTGATCCTGCTAAAGCATGAGTAGACTAAATGATCAAGCGGTCCCTTCCAACCCAAATGATTCCTTAAGAAAAAAAACCAAACACCAACAGAAAAAAAAAACACCAGTTCATAGTGCATCAAGGAGGCTGGAATCCAAATCTACTGTCATGTTTGTGTGACCTTCTGTGGCAGCAAACTCCCCTACAAACTCTAAAATTAATTCATCTGTGCTGACAGCACTGAAGGTGTTAAATAAGGTACTGCTGCAAGCAATGTCACTCCATGGTGACATGCACTGTGCTTTTCAGAATATTAAAAAACATCCTGCAACTCCTTTTGTGGGAGGTGATAAATTGCTTAGGATTAACACACAAGAGTGACAATGTGCTTAGTGGGGAAAGGAAAGAAACAGGCCAAGGAGAAAGAGACAACTTTATTTACAGAATTGAAGTGAGGTCTGAAAGGATGAAGCCAGCAGCTGCCTGAGGAGTTGTGTTTCTGAGAAAGTGCATTTCAGTCCTTCCTGGCATAACACTTTCTGAGAAAAGAGCTGCTAGGGCCAGCAGGTTTGTGTCAACTGAGAGAGCTTCCTGCTTGCTCTCCATCCAACCCATATGGACTCTGACCACCTCTACACTAGGTATTTCCCTCATAAAGGGATCTTCCAAATGCTGCAGAGTGCAAGCAGAAGGATACTGGCAGAGGTTGCTGTCCTGGCTCTCTGCATGAGTTCACACACCTCTTTTCCTAGAGTGAGCCAGAATTAAAAAAAGAAAAAAAAATGCAAGTGGTCCTTTGCCTCCCAGCACTTTCACACAGGGAGAACATGTTCCAGGTAGGTTTTACTCCAGACACAGCCATGATTAGTGATGCCCAAGCCAGCTTGACTGTTACAGGGACTGGTCGGCACTCTCTGTTGGAGAGACTCACAAATGTGACTGACATGCTCCTCTTGCAAGAACAAGCCCAGGCACCACCCAGAGCAAACATTCATCTTGCTGTGCCCAGCAACTTCCCTCCATACACACAAGTGATGCCTGGCTTACAGCCAGGTCAAATACAATCAGATTCCAAAAAGAATCAACCCTGCTGGATCAGTACCATGCTTTTGCCAGCCACAGTTTAGTAGTAGCTGTCTTCAACCAGCCTGAACACCACGGTCCCACTGGGCACGGGCATCCACTGTCACCGACGAATGCTGATCATGCAATGAGTAGTAACAGAGCTGCTCTGTTGGCTCTGGACTGGGTTCTGCAGTTCCCTCTTTCAGTGACAAGGTGATGGCCAAACAGGCTGTTCCACAGGTGTTCAATTCTTCCACCGGATTTGCTAAAAGAGGGAACAAGACACGACTAACAGCAATGCTGAACACTGAGCCCTAGGGGCCAACTTAGTGACTCCCAATTCCTGACAAGGACAGCTATGCCAAGAGCCTACCATTTCTATCAGTATAACCATTCATTCCTACCCTGAATGCAAACAAAAGATTAGCTTCCCAGCAGGGATAGAAAGTACATAGGACAGCCATGCCCCTACACCTAATCTCTACCTGTTTCTGGTGAGAGTGTCTGGAAGAAAGAGTAAGCATTTCTTACTGTGTTGCTGAGAATGCTGTTTATCTTCTCTTCTTCTGCAGAGCCCCGCTCCACCTTGCCTTTATATGCTGTCAGCTGGATACGATCCTTTAGATCCCGGTAGGTCTAGATAAAGGGCAAAACCAGCACCCAGCTGAGAGAAAGGGACACTTCAGTGGTTACATGGTGTCCTGCAGATGGGCAGGGCAGCTCTACAATCCCCCATGCAGTTCCCAACACAGAAGAATTTCACAGCACAAATGCTAGGAGCCACCCTCCTGGCTCATGGACTTCTACTGGGAACCTTATCATTTTTCCCAGGGCACAGGGATAAACAAACACCACCAGGCACGTGACACAAGTGGCACATTGCAGAGAACAGAAAAGTTAGAGAGAAAAAGCAGGCCCGTGTCCCAACTCTTCACACAGCAGCAACCTACCTCTATGACAACATCATGGCACTTGTATTTGGTAGCGAGGTTCAGCCGGGTCTCCACATCTTCCACCAGGCGCACATATTCCTGCAGCACCTGTGAGAGACAGAAGAGTCTCAACTCCCTTCTGCAGGTATGTCCTGCCTCATTCCCTCACCTCAGTCCCAAAACCTTTCAAATTTGCTGGTCACACAGAGTTGGCCCCTTCTTTAGGGAACAAGTGACCTCAAGAGCTTTGGCTGCAAAAAATTTTCTCCCTACAGTGGCAAGCAGCATCTCTGTATTCTCATGTCATTTGACCTTGCTTTTACACCTTCCTTTTTTGTCTTATTTCCAAGAGAATATTCCTGTTCAGTCAAGCTGGCCTTCTGCCTTGCCTGCCTGACTTCCAACATTTGGGAATTGCCTGCTACTGTACCCTTAGAAGGTCATATTTAAAAACTGACTGACGGACCCCACTGTCTGCAAAAACATTCTCCCAGGGGACCTTACCATTTCCCTGAGTAGCCTGAAGTCTGTTCTCCTCATGTCCAGACCTGAGGTTTTGCTGGCACTTTTCCTCCTATCAACAGAATGTTAGGCTACCTCATTGCTACGGATCAGGTTAACCATTGCCAGCCAGATTAAGAAAGAGAAAATGTAGCAAAGAAAGGTGGCAATGCACATGGGAAGAGAGTACCCAGCCAACTTTGGCCAGCTGCCCCTCTTGCAGTCAGAGCTAGGACCCAGCCCTCAATACCACCCACACCTTCTGTTGAGACATGGGTCACTCAGCTGTGTGCTGTACCCACCTGGCAAAGCCAAAAGATCAGCAAGCTTCTCCCACTTCCAGCTAGGAAGCATCTCACCTGAGGAGTCATTCATACAACAAATCCCAACAAAGAGCAGGTCTTTAGCAGGGGTTCCTGGCTCACCTGCACTGGAGCATTGTTCCTCTGCAAGATCTCCACTACCCGGTGGAAGCCAATAGGTGCCTTCTTCTTGGTGTAACCCAGCCAGTTCTGAAATGAGAACCAAACCTATGTTAACCCAAAAGGATAATCCTTCCAGCCACAAGAAAATGTGTTTTTTTCTCCCAGTGCCAGCAACATACTCCACAGCCATCACATGCACCCCACTGCAGAGCCCTTCAGGCAGTGGCGGGGCACAGGCTGGCTGCAATAATCCCTTTGGTAGCAGAGCTCAGGGGCAGCCCCCTTCTCTGACCTTATTGCTGCAGCCAAGCCAGGCCCAGCAGAGGTCTCAGGCAGGGAGAGGAGGAAAGTATTGCAACATTCTGCAGAAGAGATGCTGGGCCCTGCTGAAATAAAACCAGTCTGTCCAGTAACTCCAGAACAAGCCAGCTATCAGTAGCAGATGCCAGAACTTGGAACTGTGTCCCCAGCAAGGCTTTCTGCAGCTCACCTTGGTGGTGAGGAGGGCATCCACATCACCCCAGGCCCGCAGCTTGGCACGGGCTGCCAGGGCAGTCAGCACATACTGCTTATCAGGAATCTGCAAGGCAGAAAGCTGCAGTCAGAACAGTGGCACAGCTCAGAAGGTCTTTGTGGGCTGGACATGAATGGCATCTGCCCCAGCTCTGTCAGGACCTACACCAACACCCAGGCAAAGAGGGAAGGTGCTGCCTGATGCCATACACAGCACTGCAGAGACTAGGAAGTGGGGATTTGCAAGTACTGCTGCAAACAGGGTACCTATGGCTCCCAATTGCCTTTCTGAGACTCCAGAAGGGCCCTGCTCAAAAAGCATGCCATGGCCCCCTCCCTAGCTCAGGGCTGAGGCCCTCAGATTCCTCCTACTGAGCTCCTTCATTACATACAGTTTGTCTGTGCATGTTTTCAGCTAGTGCTGCCACAACAGAGGAGACTCACGCACCTTAAATGTCTTCTTCAGGTTGGTGGGGCTGCTGAACATTCCCTAGAGAAAGCAGACAAGTCAGTGCAAACTCAGAAGGGCAGGCCACAGCAGGGGTTCAGACACCTGTTATAAGGCATCTGCCTTGCATAGAGTCAATCTTCTCAAGATTTTACTGCTTTTTGCTCATGTCAGTGCCACAGGAGGAAGCAGCTGGCAGAAGAGAGCAACTATCTCACCCCATTAGCTGTCTGGTCTGGTTTCCCCTACATCCTCAACTGGTGCATCACCAGTACCACGCAGCTCAGCCTCATGGGATTTACAGTGGTTTCTAGGAGGCAACTCCCTGACAAACTGTGCCAGGTTGAATGTCTTGGAGCACAAAACCCTAAACTGGTGCCAGGGGACAAGGTCTCTCTGAGGGATGAAATATGACCTCTCTTTCCCTTTTTCTCCTTAATATGCTGCAACTTGACCACCTCACATCTCGAGGGCTACAAGGATGAGATGCAACCTTATCTTCTGCCACATCCTCACCTCAGCCTCTGTGTAGTGGTAGAAACAGGAATAGAAGAGGGTGGTCACTAGTGGCATGTTGAGAATTGAAGCCTTGCGAGGATACTTCCGAAACAGCTCTGACTGCCCAGCCATCTCCAAGTGCCGATCATTAGCCTGCAGAATCAGGAAGACAGACAGGGAACATGAGCCAAGATAACTGCCTGTATAGCTGTGGGATAGAGACCTAGAGGAAGTGTTGTGACAGCAATGTGCAAGCACAGCCCCAACATGCTATCAAGTCTCAGATCTGGTATTTCACATGTGCCTGGCACAGCAGCCTGAACAGCAATTACAAATACACTAGCCAGGGCAGACTGGTTAGATCCAAAGTGGTATAGGTTAGGGACAGCAAGAGAGCTCACAGGTAGTCCCAGCCACCTCCTGACCAGCAGAGAAGATTTCATACCTCAATGATGATCTGTCGCTCCAACAGGGTATAATGGTCTTGGATGTGGGAGGTATCCTCAGCTGAAAATGGCAGCCTGGCCAGACATGAAGGAAAGAGACACTGTGACAAGCTCTGAAGTACAGAATCCTTCATTTACTTCTAACTACTCTTAGAAGAATTTTTTTCTACCAAACAAGCTCCCATTCTTCCCATCTTGAATGGCTACTCAAGTTCCTGACCCACTGCCCTCTCCTAGACAGGCTCCAGAGAAAGAAACATTATGCAGTAACTTTCACAGAATAACCTAAAGTGGATGCTACCAACTTCCTCAAGTGCTCAGGCACCCAGACTTTCATCCATCACGATCTGAAGGGTCAATGATCAGAGAGTCCCTTGAAGCATCTTTCCTCCTGAATTATCTGCAAAAGCTGCTGGACTAGTGATGACCACAAATGATTCCTCTCGCGTCTACACTGTACCCGCAACTCTACTCCCACTCCCCACTAAGGGAAAACCAACATCAGCTCTCAACCCACATAAGCCATGGCACTGGCACAGAGGTTTCATTTTCTTCACTAGCACTTTCTGTGAAGAATCCACATCCCTCCCCCGCTTTTGCATTTTTTCTTACCCAATGCAACCTTTCAGAAATTCCCTCCTTTTTTCTACATCCTGGATGTTCAAATGCTCCCGGTACTGAGACAGCTGGAGGGAGAGGAGAAAGAAGCAGTGTGTTCTCATGGATTTGGGAGATACAGTATTTCCACAGGGTGAAATGGGGACAAAAAGCTTTTGCCTGATTCCCACACACTCCGCAGCCAGCCTCCCCCCCTGCAGTAAGGGAGCTTATGCTCCTGAGAATACTCACAGCAACTTCCTCAGTCCTGTCTAAGAACCTGCAAAAGGGAATTAGCAAGCATTAACCTGGAGGCAGGTTCCTAGCAGTGTGTTCAGCCTGCCACAGGATGGATCAACAGCCTCACCTGAGCAGATCCAGAAGGAACTTCTGCTCCCCCGTCTCTCTGAGGAAATGGATCAGATGGCACAAGGCCACCTGCCGCACCTCCAGCTCCCGAAACAAGATCTCTGCAGGGGAGAGAGTTTATGTACAGATGGGCAAAGGAAGATAGCACTACCAAGCAGAAGGGACTTAGCACAGTGCATGGAGCCATTGGCAGGATTCATCAACTTTATCCCATCTCAAATCACAGTGTTGGAGGCTGGAGCACAGAAGAGCCCAATCACTGGGCTGACAGCTGAATTCACAGCCAAGTGCTACCTCTAGAGATTAGTTTTCATTCATCCCATCACCACCACCTACCACTGCTTAAAGCTCCTCTCTGGAGCCTTCATAGGCATCACCATCCCCCCCACCTCCTACATTACACTTGCTACAAAAATATTTCATGCTTAGTAAAAAAGCAATACCCCAGATGCTCTCTTTGTAACTTGTGCCCAGTGATGAAATCACCCCCTCCATCCTTCACTGAAACACACTACAGAAATCCCAGCCCCAGTCATGCTCACCTCTCCTCAGTGTCCGTTTCAGGAATATCAGGACCTGTGAGCACAGGCAGGCAGGTCAGAATTATGACAGACAAACAAACAGCACACTGGCCAAGGCCTAGAGAAGTTTTTGCAAAGGGCCTCTGAAAACTCAGCTCTTATAGCACTGAACTTAATTCTGGTACCCACAACAACCAGGACAAGCAGTGAGCCTGGGCCACAGCTGCCTAGATTCTTGCCTAAGCTCCTACTCTGGAGTTTAGGTAAGTGAGACCAAAATTTACAAAGGAAAACCTTTCCATGCAAAATACAAAGGAATTAAAAGACCCAGATGAAGTAAGCTCTAACACAATCCATTTTCTCTCTGATATTTTAAAAGCCAGAAAAACTGGTGAGGCCCCAGATCCCAAATGCCAGGTCCCAAATTTTCTGTGCTGAAATGAGCAGATTAAACCTTGACCTTCAAGAAGTAGGTGCAAAAATCTGTAAGGCTGATGGATCAGAGTCCTTGTTATTAACATCAATTCTGCAGAGTGGCAGGAAAGACAGCAGGAATAGAGAATTTCCCAGTCTTTAGCTTTGACACTTCTAGTAACTGTTTGAACTAAAGAACACCCCCCAGTCTTGCAAGACCAGGTGGCCAGCTGACTGCATTCTCACAAGCACTCTCTGTGGGGCCACCCACAAGTCCCAGCCCTGTATGGCCCCAGCAGGACTCACAGCTGTAATGACATTCCCATCATGCCCTGCCACAGCTTCATCCAAGAGCACCAGCTTGTCCTGCAGGGAGCGAAATCTCTCTAGAGAGCAGACCTAGAGACAGAACAGGAAGAAGCAGGCATGTGGGACATGAGACAATCCTCAGGCTGAATCCAAGCTATTATTCATTCCTCTCCCATAAGCCCTTCAGCAACATGAATAACTGCCCTCCCAATGAGTGGAGAAATTCTCATTTAGCTGAAACCACATGCCACATGTAATCCCTGGAAATCTGCCCACAGGGGTTGCAGTCAACCCTCATTACTGCACAGTCTAGGACAGCAGACTGTACATTCAGCACAAACACCCTTGTAACAAGACAAAACTTTCCTGTACACCACAAACCACTAACCCTGACAAGAGGAGGGAACTCTACAAGCCCCTTTCCACAAAGGAGACCAGAGAAGTAGAGTCATAACCCTTTCTCCCTTCTTCTTACCCCATATCTGTGGCCTCTCTCAACCTTTAGCTCACCTCAGCCTTCGAGGAGATATATGCAGAGTGAAACCACAATCTCCCTATGTGTTCACTGCACACTGAGGTAGCTGAGACTAAGATTAGAGCTCCAGTGAAACCATTTCTGTCTCACTCCCTCCATTTGCCACCAGGTGAGAATGGAGATGAAGTCCCACCCCCTCAGATTTTTAAAATGAACCCAGCCCCAGAGAGCAGAAGGGGTAGAAAGGGACACAGCAGTACAGACACCTACTGTCAGAGCCTTGCTGAGGGGACAACTCAAGTTAACAAAGCAACAAAACCCTGAAGTTCTTCTGCTGCTCCTGAGCTAGTGATCCTAGCACTGCCACCTGGCAAAGTAACAGACAGGCAGACCACCATCCCTGCTAGGTGCTGCAAGCCAGGATAGCCAGGAGCACAGCAAAGTGTAAAGCATTTTGGGACCACCCATCCTCCATCTCTTACAAGCAGGTGAGAGTGCAAAGTCCTTACCTTGCCCCTCTGCATTCTCCTGACTGTATCTTTGGGGCTCCAGTCACCACTGTAATCCTGCCACAAGAGAAATAAAGCACTCTTAAGCCTCAGATCATTTCAGCAATCTCCAAGCTGCTTTTCACTTCTGCTGCATCAGTGCTGGCCTACATGTAGCTACTCACACTGATCATTCAGCTGCTCCAGGAAAGGTGTTAGTAGGAGGTATATGTACATTTTTCAGGTGCAAATGTTGAGCCCTCAGACTCTGCATGTGCTGGTGTGGAGGGAAGCTAAAGGCCCATATGTTAACACAGCATTTCTAGTGCCTCAGTAAGGTCTGTCATCATATCCTTTATAAGTAGTGCATTGCATCAGGTTGCTCTCCTTGCAAACTATGTTGCTTTCAGGACAAATAAAATACATGCAAAACAGACTAACCCAAAACTGAAGGGCAAGGAGTCAGTTTCTTGTTACAATTCAGACAGACTTCTGCTGGTGAGCTTTCCACAGCAGCGTGGAGAGCACAGGGACAATAGCCTCAGGCAAGAACCTGGGGAGTTGCACAAGACAAGGACAGTGTGACAAGGGCATTGAAGCCTGGAGGAGGACCACCTTAAGGTCACATGCTACCACTGCTGCAACGACCAGAATTTTGCCCCTGCAGCAGGTAGACACTATGATCTGAAGCACTGGATAAAAAGTGATGATGGCCCAGGCCACTCCTAACTCAGACACCATAAAGTCATCTCATCTAGGTCTCTGTGAGGCACTCAATCCAGTAGTTGCAATTCAGCTTTCTGTCTCAAAAGGCCCAGAGAAAGGAAGCAACAAGAACCAGCTCTGAGGACAGTGAATTTTAAATCCATTGAAGACTTATTGAAAGCCCGAATCTAAGGATGAAAGGTCTGACCCAGTCCTACTGGGAGACCTCTGTGCATGAGTCTCTCAAAGCAATGTACAGCTGAGTGTCAAATATCCTGAGCACCAGAACTCTCTCCAGCACCTCTGGCCAGAGGCATCTTCTCAGCCTGTCACTGTCAGGACACTCATCAAAAGCTGCCACTAGCTTTCCCTTTTTTGTCCCACCCCCATTTGCATTTAAGAGGCTGTATAATCCTTCTCCTTCCTGCTTCACTGCTTTTGCAGGCCCCAAACAGAACACAACAGGGCACTCTTGTTTCTCCTGCTGTGCTTTGAGGAAATGCTGTCTGTTAGGTTTTGTCATTAATGGCTAACTGACAAAATACACCAGCCTGGGGACGATCAGATGGCCAAGGACAGGTGGACCATGAACCCTGGCAGCTCAAGGATGCAAGTGCCAGCTACTGGAGGAGACTGGGGTCTGGGATTCAGCTAAAAAACAAACCAGATGTCTAAGACCAGCTACTGGAGGGACCCATACAGCGTGTGTATGTTCCACTAGTGGAGCTGGTCAGACAGTAAGGAAGCTCAGGATGAAGCTTGAGTGTTCTCTGTATGTGTCTATTCATAAAGGCATTGGTCTGTCTGTGTTAATCTGTGCAGACAGCTGTGTTAGTATTGTGCATGTCTGTCTCTGCAAGAAATATAAGCTCAGTCCTATTACTGCCTGGACCTAGGGACATGGGACCACAATCTCACACCTAGTAAGAGGAATCCACCTAGTCCCAAAATCCTCTAGATTCTCTAACACTTATCACTGCGTATCTGGTAGACAAACATTCCTGCCAACTGAAACACTGCCTCTGCTCAACTCCCTCTGTATTGTCCCAGTGATTCATGAACAAGAAATTTCAAAACTTTCATATTTAAAAAAATGTAAAAACCACATGTGATGCCAGTTTATCTGACCTGACATGAAAGCAGCTTACAAAGCACTATTTTGAAATCCTTTCCACAAAGACTGCTACGCTATTCATTAAAAGGAGTAACCAAAACCAAGACCCCCTGCAAAGCTCCATACTTCTGTGCAAAAAGAGAGAATGCTTAAATTACTGCAAGGCTGCATTTTGCAGCTCCCTGTCCTATTCCCTGCATTGCCCTCTTCTGTCTGAAACAGCAACTAATCACCTCCCATGAAACCAGTAGAGTAGGAAGTTCACTAATCTTGGTCTAAAACAAGCACTGGCTGCTCACCTTGTACTCAGCTTTCGGTCTGCGCAGCTCTGGGGCATAGTTTTTAACTCCCGTGTCAGTGAGGGCTGAGAGGGAGAGGCACAGATGAGTAGTACATAAAAATCCTGATTCACATCCACTTCCAAACCCATCCCTTTCTTGGTTTTCATGGCAGAAGACCCAAACTTCAGCATCAAATGGCAATACAGCATTACTCTAAAACAAACAGTTGTCAGTTGTACATAAGTAATTACCCCAAATCATCATGCCAATTCTTTAATTTCTTTGAGGAAAGAACGACCCACAATTCAATTTTTAGACAGCACATGATTCAGTTTCCCTTCTTGCATCATAAGGCAGATGACACTTCCCTTTTTTTTTGGAAATGCTTAGTTTCATGTAAATCTGCACCCCTCCCCGGATGAGGCAGGGACCCAAAACTTACCATCTGAAAGGGACTGGAAACTTGAGAGTTTGTTTCGTCCTGAAATAAAAACACTGATGAGACACTGTCACTTCACCAGCAGCATCTCCTGCACAGGGAACATAAGCCTAGACTGCAGCCAGTTTACTGCTGCTATGCCATAGAACAAGTCACCCTGTACAGTGATTCGTACTACACCAGCACAGCTGGGGCTCACCTCTTACATTCTAAGGCGTTGAAGTTGTCTGTGGCATTGCAAACCATACCACACTCCATCCCTATCTGCTCTCTTGGTGCTGAGGCCAGGAGAGGTTAGACCTGAATTCACTCATCTACCTACAGAGCAGAGGCTCAAGCACATAGCACTGCATAGGCCATGGCAACAGAGACAGCCCCACCCACCAGGGCTGCAATTTGGATGCCTTTCTTCATCACCTTATGGTCATAGTTGAGAGTAAAAAACACCCCAGAGAAAGAGAGACAAAGTAAAAGCTGCTTTGTTGTCTGGCTCTGTGAGAACAGAGCTGAACTCTTGCAAGCTGTGTATGTTTGCCCACAGCCTGCTGCACAGCTCCTCCCATAACCAGCTACGCTGCCACTACTGCTATCGTGTGTTTGCTGAACCAACACCAACAGCAGCCAGCTGAGCTCCAAATAAAGCATAATCAATCTGTCTTCTATTCACAACTCAAAATCAAATGAGGGCTACATGGGTCAAGCCAGTCCCTTTGCAACCTGCTCTTTTCCACCAACCAAATGGATTGCCACACAGTGCTGTACTCTACCCTGCTGTTCTTTGGAACCTGGATTTTAAGAAGCCGTAATCTCCAAAGCCCCTTCCCACTCCACAAAAGCACGTGATCTACTGCACCACACAGTCTTCAATTTCTGACCAGAGAGCAATACACTTCCACCCTGAGGAGAAATGGGAGCTTCCCTGTTTTGCAATACACTTCAGATGAAACAATTTACATAAGATAACCCATTGCCCCTTGACAGTCTTAAGGGAAAACACATTTGTCAATATGGCATATACTGAACCTCACCTTTGAACAGGCTGCTTAGGGAGTAGGAAGAAGCTTGTTTGGGAAGAGCAGAAGCATAAGAGGAGGAGCCTTTCTGTAGACTGGAGTCTCTGCCATCCAGGGAGCTAGTGCTGCCAGAGGCTGTCTCTTTGATTGACCAGGAGATACCTGTGTACAGAGAGGTCATTTTTATCCCAGAAAGAGGCTGTAAAGAACGATCTTCTGGCGTGGCAGAAACATTACGAGATGTGTGCTGGTCAGTTCTGCACTAGCACATCAAGGTAAGTCTGACCCTCAGCACTAAGTAGACACAGTGCATCCATCTCTCCATGCAGAATTGCATTTTCATATTATGCTGCTTGTTAAACAGTGGCACATTGTCCTCCAGAAATGGCTGGTTTCAGCAACATTGTACAGCTGGCTATGGCTTGTGTGAAAGGAATACACAGACACCCCCACCTTTTATGTATTATTGCATGAGGCAAAGCATGGTCCTTGTTCTGAAAGTACAAAGCAAGACAGAGAGTCCCCGGCCTAGCTCAAAGTGCAGAAGCCTAAGAGCATGCATTCCTCAACACTGAAGACTAAGATAGTTTTCCTTCCCACACAGACAAAACAGCTCTCAGTGTGCATATGCTGCTGGCAACAATGCTTGTGTCTCCCTCCTGCCTGTTCCATACAGTTTCCCCTTGTTTTCACACAGCTGCACAACACATGTATTTTAGGATCAGGATGACAGACAAAAAACCACAATAGGTAAAGAGACCCTGGGTGGGAAAAGAAAGCAGAGGGAAGAGCTACAGCAAAGGACAAGAAGATCAGTCTCTGAAGATCCTTTGGGTGACCCATATAAAAATTTTCATGGTTTGGCACTGGCTAGCAAGTGTTACAATTCTGTGGGACATGAACTCAAAAGCACAGCATACAGGATTGTGTGTGGGCTATTAACTCACTCCCATCATCACTAGAAACACATCTGCTTAATGTTTACAGTTCCCTTTCAAATTTCAAGTGTCAGAGTCATTCTATAAGCATATATTAAACCTTGGATATCTGCTTAAAATGCTGTGGGGTCAAAATACAGAAACTTTAAATAGTGCCATTTCAGACAGTGATGTGAAGGAAATGATCACCTAGAATCTCACAGGCCACCTGAGCAAAATGAGTATCAGTCCATAACCACCAAAATACCTGCTCTGAGCTTGGCTACATATTAGAAAAAACACAGTGAATTCCCTCCACTTGTCTGCACTCCTCTTTTTTAACACAATTCGGCCTCACCCTCTTTTCAGTGGATCTGCTCAGGTAAATCAAGGAGCTCACAATGTGACCTGGGAGTCTTGAATCAGATTAGATATTCAGAATTGGATAGCAAATAATACTCCTGACTTAAGTGACTTGACTTAAGCAGCAATTTTAAACTCCCTCTGTCTCAAAGATATTTTGCACTACTTCTGCACTTACTTCCCACAGGTTCTCCACTCCAGCTGACCCTCTCGAGGTCATCATCATCATCATCGACAATATCCCGAAGGCTGTTCACTGCCCGTTTGGACTCCTTTAGCTACACACAAAAGAGTGACCTTGTGTAAGGACCATCAGAATTGCAGAATACACTTCATTTCCTACTATCATCAAACATCTCCCAAAGAATTTAGAATACAGTTTCTTCAGCTTCCATTGTTTCTTGGGATGGTATTTTAATCCTGTAGCTGTGCAGCAGACATAGGAGTCCTTCCTCACCACTGGGAGCCCCAAGGACACCTATACAGACACTAACAGCTCAGCCAGCGGGAGATGCGGTTTGGTGCCTGGGCGAGGAACCACGTCCTCATGAGATTTGGGACTGGCTACCATGGAGAGAGACAGGAGCCCTTGGTACCCTCCGCAGTGGGCAGGAGGTGACAATCACCTACAGAACATCGACCCTCCGGGATGTGCAGGGCCGAGACCCGGGCTGGGACGGCTACGGGGGCCCACCCTGCGAGGGTGTCGGACCAGCAGCTCCAGAGCCGGACCCTCCCTACCTGCGAGAGCTCGTCATCCTCATCGTCAAAGGTGAAGGCCCGGAACTTGGAGCTGTGCCAGTACTCCTCCTCGTCCGCCCGCACTCTGCTCATCTGCAACGGCACCGCGTGGCTGCCTCAGCACAGGGAGGGAGGGAGGGATGGAGGAGCTGCCTCGGGGTTATCGCCACCCCTGCTCCAGGTCCAGGTCCCGGCCCCACCGCCCCCAGCCCCTCTCTCACCTCGCCGCCCCTCCCGCGCCAGCAGCGCTCACAGCAGGGCAGGGCGGGGTGGGGCAGCCGCGCGTGGAGCACGCCGGGACATGTAGTTCTCCCGCTACATGAGGAGCGCGGCCGCTCCTCGTTCACGCACTACGAGTCCCGGCGTGCCCCGCAGGCCGCAGTGACTTGCCTTCGGACTACCAGTCCCAGCGGGCTGGGAGAGCGGCGGAGTGGTGTCTGGGCCGGCAATCGGGATCGGGGCCCTGGGAACTGTGGGCTGACTCCGGGAGCTGTAGGCCGGCGGGGACGGGACGGGACGGGAGCGGGAGCACCAGCCCCAGCCCCAAGCTGCCTGCAGCGCGGCGGAACCAACTAGCCGGGCGGAACCAATAAGCCGGGGTGGCGCAGCGGGGGCGTGCCGGAAAGGCCCGCACCGGGCGGAAGGCGGGAGGCGGCGCGGCGGTTCTAGCAGCTTCCACGGGCGCTCGGAGCGGAGGCGGCAATCCCGGTCCCGATGGCCAAGTGGGGGGAGGGAGACCCGCGCTGGATCGTGGAGCAGCGGGCCGACGCCACCAACGTCAATAACTGGCACTGGTAAGTGGGGCGGCTGCTCCCGGAGCCGCCCGGCCGGCCCCGGCGCGGAGGGGGCTGCACGGCCGGAGCCGCGGGCAGAGGGGCCGCCCCCGTCCCCTCCTCGCGGAACGGTGCTGAGGCGGGGCCGACCGGGCTGAGCCTCCGGGGCGGCACCGGCTCCGTGCGTGTGTGCCGGGGTGTCCGAGCCGAGGTGTGCCGGGGGAATGGCTGCAGGTGGCTTGGGGAAGAAATCTCTGTGTGTTTGTGTCGAAGCGGGGCAGGGAGACAAGACTGGGGAGCACTGGATAGTCCCATTATGCACTGTCAGCGTGGCCTGTCCCACATTGTCACCCTGCTCGGTTTTCCTGCAGGACAGAGAGGGATGCCTCCAACTGGTCCACGGAGCGGCTGAAAGCTCTCCTCCTGCCTGTCAGGGTGGAGGGTGAAGAAGGGGCATGTGAGGTGACAGAAGTGAGCAAACTGGATGGAGAGGCCTCCATCAACAACCGCAAAGGGAAACTTATCTTCTTCTATGAGTGGGCTATCAAGCTGGCGTGGACTGGTGAGTGATATGCACCCCTCCTGTTTCAAGGTCAGATTCAGGTATAATATCAAGGATACACATCTCATTTGGGAAATAATAATAAAGGGAAGTGTTGTATTTGGTTACAAGTTTGCTTTGACAACAACCAGAGTAAGAAAGGTTGATCTGAACAATATAATTATAATTGCAGGCACCTCAAAGACAGGAGTGAAGTACAAAGGTTATGTGGAGATTCCTAATCTCTCAGATGAAAACGACATCGATGAAGTTGAGGTAAGCAAAGCTGGATGTATGGAGTATTCTAATTGGAATACTCACAGCATTAATATTTTGTTTCCTGTTACCTTTCTTAGAACATTTGTGTAGAATTTTTTACTGTTAGAGGCTGCTTAAGTTAACAGAATCAAAAAATGGTTTGGGTTGAATGAGATCTTTAAAGGTCATCTATTACCAACCTCTCAGCCATGAGCAGGGACATCTGTCACTAGAACAGGTTACTCAGAGCTCCATCCAACCTTGCCTTGAACACCTCCAGGGATGGAGCATCCACAGATTCTATGGGCAATCTGTTCCAGTGCCTCACCACCCTTAGAGTAAAGAATTTCCTTCTGACTTTTAATCTAAATCTACTCTCTTTCAACATAAAACCATTAACTTTCATTCTGTCACTGCACTCCCTGATGAAGAGTCGCTCCCCTATCATGTTGTATCTTTATCAAATGAATTCCTGTCTCCTAGATGCAGAGGGCTCTGTAGCACAAGGAGTTATTCAGGCACACAGGTACAGTACTGTAGGTTGAGAGAGCTGAAGTGAAAGATGAATAAAGCTGCAGGGCTGTTTATGAAAGTTAGGCAAAGTCTGTGATGTTGAATTGAGTAATAAAAGAACTGTGATTGTATGTCCTTGTTAATCAGTGCTTGTATTCATTGTTCAGATCCTTGTCAGCCTTGCTAAAGATGAGCCTGAGACTAACTTGAAGACCCTGATGAAGCAAGAGGGTGCAAAGAAAATTAGAGATGCAATGAAAACTTACATCAGCACTCTGAAAACGGGTATGTAACTGAGAGGGAGAAGTGTTATGGGAACCCATATGGACTAATTCTAAAGAAGAGATGGGAGTAAAGAGATGCTCTCTCCATCTCAACAGAAAGGTGTCAGAGCAATAACAATAACTTTGGAAGAAGCATTTCTGGCTCTAGACAGCATAGCTCAGCCCAGAAAGATTGGTTCTGGTGGTAATGCAGTAATAAACAGTAATTTTGAATCTATGTTTTAAAACTGAGAATGCCCTTCATATTCTGAAGCTAGGGAGAAAATGAAAGCCAGTAAAACGTGTTGGTCACCCCAGTGACATAGTCACTGCCTGTGGCACAATCTGGCCTTCAGCTGGCTTACTCCCTTGGAAAGTGATATCTTTTCCAGTTTGTAGTTTGTTTTGGGGTTTTTTTTTTTCCTCTTGCCACAGTGGTAAAGACATTTAGTGTTACTTGGGTTTTAGAATAACTGATGTCTGAAAATTGCTCTGCAGGTTTTGTTGGTGTCTTTTAATGACCTGTCTCAGCATCTGGATCAATTTTTTTTTTTTTAAGTTAAATCTGAGTCCAGCAGTTGAAGTTAAATCAATGCACTTTGGCTGAATTTGGCTTTCCTCTCAAATACAGGCTAGGAATGCTACAGTTGCTTTTTATATCCATTTAGCTATATTACATTACATGTCCTAGATAGCTGGGTACAAACCACCACTGATTGCTGTTTTTCCAGGATTAAATTTCTGTACTCTTGGGTTTTTTTCAGGCACTGTAGTGTTCAGGCTGGGAGATGCAGTCACCCAGTGAAAGAAAAGAATGCTAATCAGAAAAATCTGTATGATCTTGTGGGCTGCGATAAATGAGAATAAGTGGGAACCAAGTATTGCAGGATACAGGTTGATGCACATATGATACAAATCTGCTTTCTAATGGAATTTTGCTACGCTGAACAGATGAAGAAAAAGGAGCAAAATGTTGTATAATTGGTAAAAGCAGAAGTGACTGAGCTGGAGAAAAAGCAAATGTAATTGTGAACGAGGCTGAAGGTTCTGATGGAGTTACAGAAGTGTTAGTGCTGGTGGACAGGGTGCTGGCAAGGCTTGTCTGGCTTTCCATGTGCAGTCCTGGCATCTGGTGTCGATAAAGATAAATCAAAGAGGGAGTTGGAAGTTACTGTTGTTTCCTGCAGTGATACAAGAAGTGAAAAAGCTTGGTTTGGTGTGTCTAGATCAGCAAGGCAAAAGTTTTTGAGGTGTGATGTGATTGCAATTTATATTAGAGAGTGAGAGAGGAAAAAAGCTACGTAAGTCTAAGGTTAACCAACGTTAATGTGAGAGCAGTGTGTGGAAGATGCTCTGTCTAGGTTGGGAAGAGGAGGTAAGTTCCTCACTGTTAGTGTAGGCAGGTTCTGACAGGGCCTTTGGTGGAGAGTAGCGAGGGAAAGAATTAATTACTTTTGAAAAGAGGTCTGTTTACTTTTTCTGAACACTGTTTCAAGTTATGGATGCTAGCCAAGAGCAAGGGGAAAACCAGGAAGCCCTTTTTGATTGCATATTTCAAAGTACACTCAGAAGGTTTACTTGATCTTTAATTGGTTTCATGGGCACATTCCTGTCTTTCCAGAATTCACCCAGGGCATGATTTTGCCCACAGTGAATGGTGAACATACGGAAACCGCACCTCAGGTGGCTCCTAAAGCAGAAGAGCGCAAGGTAAACAAAACTGCAAACATGCTTTGGGATCAGTGAAGAAAGGTATGCTGTATTAGATTGTGGGACTTAGAGCAGCAACCTCTGTTGTGTATAGGATATATACATTCAGGAACTGGCAGTCTCTGGAACAGGTGGGACTGTTTCCATTGGCAGCACATGATGTTTCTTCCAAGCAAAGTGATAAATCTGCTTTTTACATTTAAGTATGGTTGTATCTTATTGCATCTTTGCTAATAGCCTTGGTTTTTGCCCTTGCATATGTGAACCATTTGTTGATTTTTTGGTGAAAACAGGTGTGTCTGTGTTTGTTTTCCATGTTGTTTTGTTAGACGGCTGCCAGGAGCAGCACTGCCATACCACAGTCCAAATCCATAGGAGTCAAGATCCCTACCTGTAAGATCAGTTTGAAGGACACCTTCTTAACATCTCCTGAGGAGCTCTACCGGGTATTTGTTACTCAGGAGGTAATGCCTGGCTTCTTCTGAGAGCTGTTCTTTGTGTATAGGAGGCTCTTTCTAATAAGGTTTTTAAGAAGTTCTGTCAGACACTCACAATCCATGAGAATGGAATAAGAAAGCTGTTCTGCAGAGGTGTTGCTGAAAGCTTGTGTGTGCATCTTTTCACACAGCTGACAAGAGGGGAGTAGTGCCAGCAGAAGCAAGTTCCAGACTGCTGTCAGCATCTGTCTGTAGGTGTATCCCTTACTACATGTGGCCAGATCACTTGGGATTTACAATTGTGTGCTTCTGGTTTGTTTTTTCCTTTTAAGGTTAGGTGGTATCAAAAGCATGCTTTGGGAATAGCTTCCACTTTTCTGCACGGTATTACATAGTTTAGGACAAGAGCACAGCATTGTATCATTATTTAAACACTGTCTTAGTCTTTTGTTCTTCCTATTTTGATAAGAAAAATGGAAAAGCAAAGAATATTTTTTCTGAGAATTAGGTTTCATTAAGAAATCAACAAAGTAAATCACTGTGTGACTCAGAACACTGCATAGCACTATGAAAGCTGGAGGTTCTTTTCCTTGGGCAGGTGAAATGCTGCTGTAGTAGCTAAAAACTTGCTTTTC